GTCTACCTCACCCACTACACTTGAAATCGCCTTAAGGCCAGAAAATACTGTTTTTGTTGATTTGGGCACTATCAGCACCCAGCACAGTAATCAGCTAAATAAACCAGCTCACGTCCTTTTCTCTTCCTCATTGTGCTTTAAGAAGCGTAAATGAAACACTGGGACGTGGCTTCCATCAAAACACAAAGAGCTTGAAAGCTGTAAATGCAAACCCTAAGTCAGGCCTGGAAAAGGAATGATGCTGTTCCCAAGCCTTATAACAGAGTATTTCTTCTTTTCTCACTACAGGCTCAGTTGTCAAATGTCCCAGTTTGTGGGAAGGGCCACTCGACAACTGGAAAGTTCCTGAGAGATTTCTAAGATTCTAGAGGAACCCAAATCTCTTCCATTTAAAAAATGATGAATTCCACAGAGACAGAAAGTAGAACAGTGGTTGCCAGAGGCTGGGGGAGGAGGAAATGAAAAGTTATTGTTTAATGGGTACAGACCGTCAGTTTGGGAAGATGAAAAAGTTCTGGAAATGGATGGTGGTGATGGTTGCAAAACAATGTGAATGTACTTAAATGCCACAGACTATACACTTAAAAATGGTTAAAATGGTAAATTTTATGACATATATACTTTACCACATTTAACAAAAACGTGATGTATTCATCCATCTCCAGCCAGAGGCCAAGAAAAGCAGTCACAAAAGCATGCCAGCATGCGTACTTTTTTTCTTATGACCAGGCTGATGGGCAGGCTTAGACAACAAGACCACAGGCAACATTCCGCTACAACTACTTGGCTCCCTCTCTTTTCTCTTTGAGTGCCTTACATCCTCTCTGATGGTGAGAATTATTAAATTTACTACTTGTCTGCCTGTCAAAGTACTTAATGCCTTAGTCCTTCACCTTCCATTCCCCCTCTCTCCAAAATTTCCTCCTATGCTCTATCTAGAAACCTGTTTCACAAAATTTCTTCAGTGATATTCGTCTTTGTAACTGCCAAACATACCTATTCCTCCCAGGTAGACTGCCATATCCCCTACCTCCCACCCTATATTATGGTCTCTCTACCCACACCCATATTCCTTAAGTCAGCAAATGATGTTTTTCCCTCTTGAATTCATTTCTCCATTCACAGGCCAATTGCAAGCACTTTAGTAATATCTTAACTGCTCATTTTGTCCCATATGTTTTTCCATTTGGATTTATCTTTTACAAAAAATCTTCCTAGAACACTACTTTTATCTTGTTTCCTTTTTTAAGCCCAATTAATGATGAAGAAGATGATAACAGCAACAATACAGCAGTAGCAGGAGCTAACATTTGAGGGCTTACCATGGGCAAGCTACTGTTCTTAGCTTTACATACATTATTATGTTATTTAATTCCCGAACAGACCCAAGATGTATATTAATCACATTAATATAACCATTTTACAGATGACAAAACAAAGACTATACTGCAGGGATTATTAGTCCAAGGTCTATACATCTAAAAGGTCTGTGAAAGTCCTTCAAGAGAGCATGAACCCCCTCAAATGACAATGCATAAGGTTGTGAGGATGTGCATCTGTGCATTTTTATGGGGAAAGGGTTCACAGCTTTTATTGGTATATCAAAAGACACAGAGCTCAAACATGATTATTAGCTGCTGCTTTAACAATGGTTAAACGTTCTCAATTAAATCAAAGCAAAATTCCGGAGTCTGATGTTAGGTGTCTTCACTGATTAGAGCACCTCACCCCGATCTATCTTCTTCCCTTGTGAAATCATTATCATTGTCACCAGCTGATCCTCATGCTGTTCCCTACCTGGAACGCATCGCCAACTCCAAAGCCCACCCAGTGCTTCCAAAAGCTTAGCTGTGGACCCACCGTAAAACCTTCCTTGTCTACCCCAGCCCCTACTGATAATACGACCTCCAAGCACACGCACACATTGCAACAGGCAGCCCCCCCTCTTCAACCATTCGTGCTCACACATACACACTCTGATGTGCATCTGCCTCACACTCCCTGACACTCTCCATATTCAGAGAGTGACATACGTAATGTCACACTCAGTAAACACTTCGTCACACCTTGACACTCATACCAAGAGTACCCCCTAACAGCTCTATCTCAAACACACTGACCCAGACCTCAGATACAACCTCGGACTCAGTCACCAGGCTCACAAGCACAATCCATCTGTCTGTCTCTCTCTCTCTCACACACACACACACACAGTGGCCCACAATACTGCCCAAGGTCTCCCCGACAATCTCTCACATACTGACAATCACTGTGTTCCACAGACGCTCTGACAAACACCCACGGCCGCTCCCTCGCGCGCCCCGCCTCACCCGATGCTGGTATAGGCAGACGTTCCCGAAGCCACCGGTGCCCAGCCGCTCCCGCATCTCCCAGGGCCCGCCCGCGCCCGGCCGCAGCCCCGGGGGCCGCTCCATGGGGCGGGAGGGCAAGCGGCCTCAAGCTTCGCCACCGTTCCCAGGCCGGTTCCGGGCCGCCACAGCTCCCGCGTCTGTCTTCTCGCGAGATGTATGCGTCACTTCCGGTAACTGCTGCAGGAAAAGCCCGCCCCAAGTTCTCCAGGGGCGCCGCAGGAGCCCTGCAGGTGAGAGAATCGGGTGAGGAGAGTGGCGTTTTCTGCCCGCTCTCTAAGTCCCCTGTGCATTTTCCTGGCTGAGAGAACCAGCCCTGTTCCCTCATGTGTTTTTCTGGTCTTCAAGAATATAAGATCTCTCCAGACCCTACATTCCCTTCAAATCACTTTCCAAACCAGTCTCTCCAGTATTCGTCTTTTCTAGACTTTACATCGTTCCCACCCCTACCTACACTTCACCTTTCAGACTTCTGCCGTCTATCCTCCAACCTCATCACCCGCTGAGCTGGCACTGGCAAAGGCCACCAATGATTTAAATATTGAGGAATGCGAAGAACTAGAAAGAATCCTGCGCTAACAGGCCCACTGATGCATTAGCTTTCATAGTTCACTTTTTTTTCCCTTAATGATTAATCATCTTGCATAGACGACTCAGGCTGAGCTCTTCTTTTGCTTGACTTCCTATACACCTGTTCCAGGATCTCACCTGTATGTAACCAAATGACTCAAGGATGTGACGCTGTTCCAGAGTAAAGAATGTTCCTCCTGACTTCGGCAGTTTCTCCCTAAATTCCTCACGGAGCTTGCGGTCAAATAGTCCTCCAGTTATGGGGTTTGCCGGTGCGGTAGTTATTCATTGTGGGGATCGTTTCTGATGCGTGATACAGGGCTACAGAGGCAAGCTTGGGAAATACTGTTGCTGCAACAAGAAGTGCTTCTGAGTGCCGGATTGCCCTAGCCTAGAGAAACCAGCTGCCGCTTTTCTGCTTTTCGCTTTGAGTGTGTCAGACACTACATGGAACTTGGGGATTTCGTCAATCGCTCCAGGTGTTAACAATCAGCTAGAATCAAAATCTCTGATGAAATGTGTCAGCTGCCATAAGCGCAGTCATTTGAGCCTCCTTTGAGATCATGTGCACTTGGACTATCATTTGCACAGCCTGGCCTGTTAACTCAGTACTTAGAATTCCAACCAACATTTTGTGACACATGGTTGTGCCATGACAGATGTAACATGCTCAGATCTCTAAAGGTGGATATGGCACGTACACCACAGCACGCCATCAAAGCTAACTGCTTTGAAAGCACTGAATCAGCCTTTGGCAAAGCAAATGTGTCTGCCGTCACCAGAATCCCTGAACAGTTCAACCAGAATGTAGAGCACTGCATCATACAAACCAAGTCATGTTGTAGGTTGTCAGTAATGTGTGCTCAGTATCAGAGATTCTGATTTCACATAGGTGCTTGGTAGCCATGGAGTTGGAGTATCAGACTTTGAGGTGATGGCAAATAGTCTAAGAACATGTCCCTCAGAGCTGGGCATACTGCACAGATTGTGGTGCAGATTGTCCTAATAGTATGAAGCCCTCTTGTTTGTTAGATGTACAGCATAGCTAGCAATGGAGCATGTCTGATCTCCACAGGTGGGGCTGAAATCTCCTAATTCTCACTTGGAAGAGCTAGGGAAGGATGCTGAGGACTTGAGGATACTGATGATTGGGCTGATGCTGAAGTAGCTGTCCTTGCAGGAAGTGGGTTGTTTCCCCTAGTTCACTCTTTCGACATCCCCATACTCAAGGTCACTGTGTAGCTTGTTTTTTTAAAAATCCAGGGCCAGTTGACCTCAGGCTCAACGATCTTCAAGTTTGCCATCCTTGGTTTTTTCATGTGTAAAATGGAGGTAATACCTACCTCATAAACGTTTTGTGAGGATTAAGTGAAAAAGTGTCTGTGTCATAAGTGCCCATTTTATAGCAGCAAATCTCTTTCTTTTGGCTTCTAAGATACGGCATTCTCCTGTGAGCTTTCTCTCCAGTCCTTCTTCATGTACTTGATGGATCACTCTATTTCCAAGCACTGCTTAAATACTGATATTTCTCAGGTAGTCATCTTCAGCTTAGGACTGTATTCACCCTTGTTTTCATCCATTCTCATAATCTCACCTATGGCCTATACCCTGATGATCCCTAAAGCCCTATCACCAACCCAGATCTCCATGTGTTTAGAACTATCTAACAGCACACTAAAACTCAACATATCCAGAGCAGAACTCATCTTTTCTTAAATCTGCCCCTTCTCTTCTCAATTAAACTGCAAACTCTGGGACAACAGGGACCATGCTGGAACATGGCTATACTCCTAGAGCCTAGAAAAATGCCTGGCATATAGGAGAGTTAAGTATTTGCTGAAGGACTGAATGAGCTCTTTTATATAAATAAGATGAATGCTATAAGAGAAAAACGGCAAAGGCCTTGGGTTGCTCCAGCTGCACCTTGCTCAAGGAGAAGCCACCTGTGAGATCCTGGGATAACAGCTGGGCCTAAGGCCCCACCCCTCCTTTTACATACACATACTATTTCATTTCAATGGTTACAGGTAACATGAACACAAGATACTTTCCCCACCCAGGGAAAAGCATTTGGATTTTATTTGATAGTTTAAATGTTTTTGAAAATGTTGATAAACACAAGCTGTACTTGGAGCTGGATGACAGACATAGGATTATCATCCTAGAATGTGATTTTTTCCAAAAAAATATTCAATCTGAGGCTTCTTGCTGCAGGCAGCTTCCATGGGAATGCACAAAAAAGAGGCAGGGAAACAGTCCCCATGGGAGACTGCAGTTTCTTTAAAAAACAGACTGCTACTGTTTCCTGTCAAGTTCATAAAGTGTTTTGCCCTTTGCTTAGTCATCCAGAGTGAAGTCAAAGGGCTCAAAGTCTTTCCGGAAGCAGCGAGCCAGGGTCTCCTCCTCTTCCTTGCTGATCTGACACTGCCTCCAGTCAGACTTGTCAGGAATATTAAGGATGGCTTCACTGGCCAAGACCTCCCTGCAGAAAGAACACAAAGAAGTCAAAATGGACAGTATCAGCCCAAAATCCCCTCCCACCCATTCCTCTCCTGCCATCACCCCAAGAAGGTATGCAAATTCCTCTGACTTTGCTCATACCATTCTCTCTTGCCCTGAGTGCCATCTCTGCCAAAATCATACCCATTTGACCAGCTCAGGTCCTATCTCTTTCCTAACCCCTCAAACCCAATTTTCTCACTCTCTCTTGAACAACTCAGAACTTATTGGTACTCAGGGAAGTAACACGGCATAGTAGAGGCCAGAGGGCAGACCCTGGTGTCAGAAAGATCAGAGACCGAATTCCATCCCTAGCTCTGCCACGTGCTGTCTATGACTTGAACAGATTACTCCATCTCCAAATCTTGATTTCCTCACCTATGAAATGCAAAATAAGGGTTTTGTGAGGTATACAGATAACACAATCAAAGCACCAAACTAGCTGTGATTACATCCTGCCTTAAAATGGAGCTTTGTCACCAACTAGACCATGAGTTTGCTGAGGTCATGGTACACAGTCAGGCGCCACTCTGACTTAAAATTCTTCTACCTCTCCTTCTAGGAGACTCAGGCCTACATAGGCAACAACACAAGCTCAGTGTCAACAAAACGACTTATCTTGGCTCTCAGAACTAAAGAATAACTACATACAGACACAGAGACAGACACATACATGCAAGCTACCTTCTAATTGCCACTGCTTTATATTTTTATTTATTTGTACTTATTTTGATATATTAAAAATAACTCTATCTGCACATCTACATGGTTCATTTTCCACTTTGAAGCTACAATAAATGGAAAAGTTGAAAACAAAACACATGAGTCTTCTAAAAGTCACAGCACCTGAGCTCAAGTTCTAGCTCACTGGGAAAAACTTGAGCCTACTTCTTCATCTATAAAATGAAGATAGAACCCCCTTTCTTGTACAGTGGGGAAAAAATGTCTTTTCAAGTATTTCAAAAAATACTTTTTAAGTATTTTGTTAACTATAAAATACTGTATAACTATAAATTAGTATTTTAAAAAATACTCAATGTTGAGCACAAAATCATTCAGAGAATCTCTCTTTTGTGGGCTTATGTGCCAGTGTGTATCTGCGATCATGTGCCTACGTCATCACTGTCCACATCTGCACCTATTGCTGAAGCAACAACAAAAAGATAATGTCAGATTTTTGAAGCTCCTAATACACTTGTTCTCATTTATCAATTATCTTTTTGAAAATGTAGACAACTGGACTTATCCAATGGTGGCAATCTCTTGGGAGGCTTTCCAAATTAGTTGAAGAAGGGTTCAAGGTTGCTTCAAAGCTCAGTTCTAACTGGGGAAAAAAACAGCTGCAAATCACAGACACAGCAGCATATAATCTGTTCTGCCCATTTTTAACTCTCCTCCACACTATTATCTCTTTTTGCTAGTAACTTCCTGTCTTCAGTCTTTGCCTAATTTATACCACTCTCTGTATGGTTTCGTAGTCATGTTCTGCCTGATATGAAGAGCAGAAATGAAGCCTTATCCAGACCTTTAGGATACTGCAGAATAACGAGGTTAAGACTTCATGTTTTGAGATCCAACAGGCCTGGGTTTGAACCTACTACTTTGTGACCATGGACAAACTACCTAACCCCTCTAGAGCCATGCTGTCCACTATAGGAGCCACTAGCCAGATATAGCTATTTAAATTTAATCCTAATTAAAGTTGAATTAAATTTAAAGATTCAGTTCCTTAGTCACATTAGCCACATTTCAAGTGCTCAGTAGCCACATGTGGCTAGTGATTACCAAATAGGACAGTGCAGATTTAGAGAGCATTTCTATCATCGTGGAAAGTTCTGTTGGGCACTGCTCTAGAGCCTGATCCTCCACAATGGTAAATTGGGATGACAGTACCTACCTTAGAGTTGGGAATATTAAATGAGGCAACGCATGTAAAGTTCTTGGCACAGTGCCTGGCATAGAGCATATGTTCAATTACTGGTAGCACTCTACTCCCTCAAGCTAGAATGTCCACACCCCAATGTTTACCCTCGAATCTATCTCTCAGGCTCAACTTCAACCCTTTCATGAAGCCTTTCACCAAGTAGAAATGAGCTCTCCCTTCTCTGAATTTCTAAAGTACATTGTTCCTCAAAACCTTGTTATGGTACTTTTCACAGTCTACATTTCATTATTGTCATGTATGTAAATATCTGCCTTGCCCTAAGAGTATCAGTTCCTTGGGGCAAGGACTGTTTCTTGTTTGGCTTTTTATTCAACTGTCCATGCAGCCCACTACTTTGTTCACAGTAGGTCTAGTGAAAACACATTTAAAATAAGAAATATATACAAACCTTCCAAACTGCAAAGGAAAATTCTTTTTAATTCTGTGGAAAAGCTTCTCTCCTGTGTCAAGTTCAACATAAAAATACGCTGCTCCTGGCTGTGCAATCTAAAGTAAACAGAATTGTATGAGGACATACAATAGTGCTTTAAAAATCTAAAATCCTAGCTCATCTCTTAATTAATTTGGCAAAGGATTCAGTCTAGAAGCATAAGAAAAAGGATGTGAGCAGCTATAGATCCCAAGCTACTTAGTGGAATTAAAGTTTAAAAAGCCAAACTGGCAGATACTACAAGTGGCACCTCCCAGTGGCACCTGTCTTTCTAAGTTCCTGCCTTAGAAAGTTTCTAATTTCTTTCTCTTCCTAGGAAAGCACTAAGGCATTATTGTAATGCCATCTTCATCTCAGTCTAATCAACACATCATGTTCTAGTTCCAAACAGTCACCTGCCTATTTAACATTTTTAGAATGCCTTGATAGTACCTCAGGCTCAACATGTCAGAAACCAGGTCTTTACTTCTCCCTGAACATCACCTTCCCCTCCTGTTTTACCTGCTTGATGTCAGAGTGCTCTGGGATTTCCAACAGCTCTATCTGTTGCTCCTGTGCCTGGGTAATGAAGGCGTCTTTAATGTCATCAGTAGTGCAGCAGCTGAGTGGCACAGGAATGACCTGGGAGTGGGGGTTGGGGGTAGGAAGATAGGAGAAATTCTTTGTGCAGGTCCCAGAGAGATCAGGCTTCCTGCACAGTTCCTGAGAAGTAGCAAATCCATCACAGGGGTGAAGAAACACCCCTCAGCAGAAATTCTCCTCAGGCCAGACAGGCCTATGTTGCCTGTCTGTAAGGACTTAAACTTACGAGATAGCCTGCCACATGTGAGAGCCAATCTCTGATGCGAGAAAGGTTAGAGAGAGATCTCTGTCATCAAGCCTTTGCCAGCTCCTATATAATGTATGTGGTAGAGTCAGGCCCATTTGAAAACTTAACAAATGCGCCAGAAAGAAAACCACCACAACTACAAACAAATCAACCATAAACAACCTCTGAATTTCTGAGGTGCTAGCCCCATGCAGGCTCTGGGACTATTTCCTACCTCTGAGCCTTCACTCACGCTGGGCCTCCACACAAAATACCCACTTTTCCAAACTCTACCGATCAAGGCCCAAATCCTTCTTGGAACCTTCCTCAACTATCCATTCCTTTTCTAAGTAAGGCACTTCCGGTCTGTGCTGTTCACTTGTACTGACCACGCACTTCCCTGTGAACTCTCTGGAGTTATTACCAGAGACTCTTTAACCTTTGAAATGAACATTATTTGAATATTAATATCCAGGTCCCCATAGGGCCCTTCTAAGTTCTTGGGCAGAGACCACCTACCTGTAGCTGGAGGTGATGGCTCTTATAATTTCTCTCAAATAGAACACACCGTTTCCCTCGACTCTTAAAGAACCGCCTCAGTGTAGCCTTATACTTCTCCACCTCTTCTACCACCTCTGCTGAAAGCTCCACCACTGACTGGTAGTGTCCAATGGGCAGGATGAGGACATGGTCATCAGATAAGCCTCCTTTGGCCAGGGCAAGGTAGCACTGAAGAGGAAGCACACAGAATTGAGACATCAATACTGCACTATGGTTTTTCAGGGAGAAAAGCCCATACAAAGAGTGAGCCTGAGGGGGTTAAAAAAGTGCTCAAGAGGCTATCAATAGAAATTCTCTGACTTTTAAAAATATGATTCTAGAGGTTATAACAACAATGTTCTCAAGTACCTGCTGAAGGACATTAGATGCAACAAATTTCTATGTAAGTATCAAATGAACTGGGAGCAAATGAGCAGCATATAAACAGTCTTTTGGCTTCAAACACATCGGAACTAAAGGAGACTGGAATAACAATTGGTTTTCCCTCCCAGGCTCCAAACTTGAAAACAATTTTTCAGTTACTATCACCTTCAGCCACAGAAAGATACTACTCCTGATTTCAAAAATGACCACTTTCCCTACAGTAACATCCAATCCCACCCCTAAATACACCCCCTGGGTTCACAAAAAAAAGTTAAGGTGGCCTGATTAGCATCCAATGTCCCTACAGCCCTAAGCGGCTGACTAACCTCTACAAAATGAAAGTAAACATAAAACCTAATGGGGTGGAAGGAAGGAGAAACCTCAAACTCAGATACATCCAAAGAGGTAGAAAACTATGGTTCCCAACAATGGAAGTCAGCAGCTAAACAGCAACTAAAAATATTGCCATCAAAACCAAAACATGCAAGACCGCTACACTCAAGATACTCTTTGAAGGGAAAACACTATGAGTGAGTAGAGAAAGGGCCAATGAATATCAAAAGCAGGCAAATGAAGGCACAAGAGCTTTAGAAAAAACACAACCCAAAGTATACTTTTAGTGTTGTGGGTTCAAAGTTAAGGCTGAAGGAAGGAGTCGTTTATTTCTCATCTACAATGAAAAAGTCCAACAGAATGACAGGATAGGTACTGGAAACAAATTAAAGGATGATCATCCTTGATTTACTTGGCATAGAGGACTGAGCACATCTACAAAGTTAATTTTCCAGGAGACTCAAGTTCATCAAAACCACATAAGCACTAAAACATTTTTTAAATTTTTACAATAACTTCCCCCCCCCCCCCACAATAACCATTCTGGACCATATTTGTTTTAAAAAGTTACTCTAGAAACCTGAGTCTTCCAGCCTTTTCTTTATGGCAGAGAGTCGCCACCACAAACATCAGTTTTTATACTGTGATGTGCACTGAGGCTACTGAAGGTTTCTAGTCTGGACTAAGTAGCACCTCCCCCTCAATGCAGTACCTTCCAGTTCTTCATGGAAATGCCCAAATCCACTTGCCAAATCCTTTCAAACTCTCACCTTCTAATCTGTTCTATACTTGAATTATCTCTAACAATGTATAAAAAGGACTGGAATGAATGTTTCCCCTTAAGTAAAATGCATGGATTTGCAAGTTATTTTGGACTCTTAGCAGTCTTTCTCTCCTTTTACCAATTTGTGGCCATGGGCCATCAGCATAGTTCTATGTATATCCCTTGAGGAAGGCATGGCAAAGACAGAGAAAGCCAGGAAAAAAAGTAATAAAAGGAGATCATGAGGAATGGTTGCAAGGAGGATTCCAAACCCTTTGCAAGACATCCAAAGGTCACCAGACGATCCCAAGAGATTTCTACCAGAAAAAGGACAGTGCAGGTAAGCACAGACTTGATTATTACGCAGGCTCTAGGCTAAAATCCTCATGTGGCCTCCTACTTGGGGTTGGGCCATAAACAGGACCTGAGATGCTTTCTGCCCTTCTAGCTTCAGGCCTAGATGAGAAACAAACAGGCTTCCTTGATCATCCTCTAGGCCCATACCCTGAGCTACATACCCTGGGCAATAGAAGGGTAAATGGAAAGAAAAGGTCATTTCTCCCAGAGGCCTAGAGCAGCACTGAGCTAAGTCACCCATTCCAAATCTCTTGTCCCCTGCATGGCATTCTTGAACCTGTTGAAGCTTCCCAAACAGAAGGCAGTCCAAAGTCTGCCTTACGACACAAGTTGTATGGGAGAGAAGAATGGCATAAACTAACCCAAAGATGAAAACAAGGTCCAAGAGAGATAATCCCAAAAGGGCATTCCTATAAAAGCAAGAGCGTTTCAAGTTTGCTCTTCTTCCCGCTGAAGAGTTGATCCACAGGCTCCATGGCTCAACTGTGTCACAGGCCTTGACCCCATTAGAGACAGGAGTGCTCCCTCTAGAGACATGAGTGTGCCAACAATCAAGACATAAAAATAAATGTAAAAGACGGGGACTCTTCAGTCTGAAACAACAAAGGCAGAAGAAGGATGTGACTTAAAATCTAAGATGAAACTGAGACTCTAGACAGTCTATAGGAGGCCACAGTAAAGGGCCCTCAGATTGTCAGGAGAAGTTAAGGAAAAGGTCACCCTTAGAAACCAAAATTATAACAAATCAATGAAAATGGATGAAAGTTGCTGTCTGCAGAAGCACTACACGTTAAGAAATGGTTTATAAATATTTCCCTCAGGAGCCTTAGGAAACAGCTAATTCTAGTCACAGGTGACTAGGGTGAAACTATAACCCTGAAAATTAAGTTTTTTTTTTCATTCTAAGTGAATGACAAAGAAGGATAATGGTCTATATGGAGCCAAAAAAAAACTGAAGCTCAAAGAGCAGTATTATTTAGTGCCTAATTAAGCCTTGCCCAAGGAAAAGCGTCTGGGGAAATCTGGAATAGGATGACTTTACTGTGAGACACACATAGTTCATAATGGTTTTCCAAAAACTTGAATAAAATCACCCACAAGATCATCCAGTTCTCACAGTCTGATTCAGTGCTTACCAAGCAAACTTATAATTATTATCCTGGCTTCCCAGATCCCCACACTAGGAATGTGGATATGGGTATTCCTGTCATTAGGAAGCTATATCCTCTACTATTAGGCAAAACTGAGAATTTATCACTTTAGTTTTTCATATAATTTGTGCAAATCAGTTCCCAGCATTACATAATTCTACATAAAAATTAATTAATAAGCTCAAGTTTCTGAATCTAAAGATATAAAAAAAGAATATCAACATTTTTAACCCAATATAGGTAAACAGGCAACAGATGTCTCCCTTTTTAGGACAAAGAAAATCCGTTTTAAATAGTGAGTAATAAAAGCAACTCATCACCTCCAAGTAGTATGGAGTAAAAATAGAGAGTTCAAGAAGCATATAAAAGCATCACCATAGGAGATCCATACCTATTTGACAAAGAGGGAGGGAAGGAGGGAGCAATCTTATGAAACTGGCTCTACGAAACCACAGGAGAATTGCTACAAGCAAAAAGACAGACATTAACAAATGTTGGTGAAGATGTGGAAAAACAGAAACCCTCGTATATTACTGGTGGGAATATAATATGGTACAGCCATTTTGGAAAACAGTTTAGCAGTTTCTTAAAAAGTTAAACATAAATTTACCAGCAATTCCATTCCTAGGTATCTATCCAAAAGAAATGAAAAGATATGTCCACACAAAAACTTGCAAGCAAATGTTCACAGCAGCATTATTCCTAATAGCCATAAAGTGGCAACAACCCAAATTCCATCAACTGATGCATGTACAGACAAAATGTGGCATATCCATACAATGGAATACTATCTGACAATAAAAAGGAATGGAATACTGATACATGCTACAACACAGATGAGCCTCAAGAATATTAAGCTAAGTAAAAGAAGCCAGACACAAAACACCACATATTATATGATTCCATTTATATGAAATGTCCAGAAAAGGCAAACCTATGGAGACAGAAAGTAGCCTAGTGGTTGCCTGGGGCTGAAGGTGGGAACACGGATTAACCGTAACTGGGCATGAGGGATCTTACTGGAGTGACGGACATGTTCTAAAACTGTATTATGTGATGGTTGTATAACTCAGTAAGATTACTAAAAATCACTTAATTGTACACTTTAAGTGGGTAAATTTTATGATATGTAAATTATGACTCAATAAAGTTAATAGAAAACAAACAGATATCTCCTTCTCTGTAAAAGGTTCATGGAAATAACTCACATGTGTGCCAATGTTGACCACCAAATGCTTTTCCACTTCAGGGCTGGCAAGGCAAAACCAGCAGGGTCCTGGAGGCTGAGCTTCACGTGGAAGGAAGCAGATGTTACTATGGTCCAAGCACTCTAGCATATAATCCACCCAACAGAACTCAGCCTTGTCTGATATTTATATCCTGCAAAGACTGGTATACAGCACTGCCACAATGGGCTGGGCCTGTTGTGCTCCCCCTGTCACCCCCCCTCACCACCCCCAAATCACCATTATCAATGAAACTAAACCCTCTATTCGAAAAGTTCTGAATTTGTAACCAATCCACAGGTAGCTGATCCACAAGTGGATAACCACACATTGACTAAAGTAGCATGTAAGTGGCAACAGGCTGCAACAAAAGAACGCTGAACCAGGTGTCAGGAGCCCTAATTCTAGTCCCAGCTATGCCACTAGCTAGCCACATGACCCTGGGTAAGAAGTTTACCCTCCCAAGGTCAGCTTCCTCATCTTTGAAACAAAGAGATGGAGAAGAGGATCTCAATGAAATAGCCCTAAAGTCCTTTCCACCAGTTTGATTTTTCTATTATTTTATGAACCCTCATTGGTTTTGTAGGCTCTTTACCTCATATGTTTTGCAGATATGAAGGAAAGGAGCTTTTTCCATAGTTCTTACAGGAATAGCCTCAGACAGCCTCAAAGTCAGGCTATCTTTGTATTATCGTATTTTTATTATTGGTCCTAATGACTCATTGTACAATTTCCCTCTGTCAGAAGAGGCTGTCTTAGCAATGCCACTTCCCAAACAAGACCTGAAGTAACAGTTATTGCTCACACAGGAGACCTCTGGAACCAAGGTACTTACGAGGTTTGCGAGGCTGCTTTGGGAGAGGAGAAGACTTGCTATCTCTGCCTGTAGATGAACGCTTCCTTCCTTGCTTTTCATTTAAATCAAAGAAAAACTGACAGGCTGCTTCTTCCTGGAATGGCCAAAGGTAGAAGAGTAAATGTAATTAAACTAACCTTTAGACAAGTAGCCCACCATTCACATACAAGGGAACACTCCTGCCAGGTCATATCTATCTTTCCTCCCAGCCCTTTCTGCCTATTCTAGAGAAGAAAAATATCTTCCCAGTCCTGAAGCCAAGACTCAGTCTTACTTCTCAACACTTATCCAAGCTACCAAATTCATCTCTTTGGAAAAGCAAGCTAAAATGAAAGTTATAGAGCAATTCTTGCCTAAAATAGAACAACATGAACTCACTCAAATTCCTTTTCCTTTCTCTCTCAATAGGGCCGTAGCACAGTCCTACAGTTTCACAGGTCAAACAAGTCTAACTGAGCTTTAAATAAAAAGATGAGAAGGTTGCTCATAAAGAAAAAGAAGTCTGAGAAAGCAGACCATGCATACTAGTAAGAGAACCTGATAGTCCTTGCTTTAGTGAAGGAAAAATTAACTTCAGAAAAGTCTGCTATTAAGAAATTTCTTCAGAATAAGTCTTATTCACCTACTAGCACTCATTATAAAATCACAAACTACATTGCCACCAAGTAGTTGGATCCTTGCCTGAAAAGCTAAGAATAGATAATCAACTTTAGATGACTTAACATATGATACGATAACCCCAACACATGAATCAAGTTTAGACAAAGCAAAACATAACATATGAAACTATTAACCCCAAACTACAATAAAAAACACAGAGCTTACTTGAAATCTACTAAGGCTTTCTAAAAATAAACATCACCATGATTTCCCAAGGAAAAAAAAAGATTTAGATTCTAAGGATTAAACTTGTCTTATGAACTAAACTATAACCAGGAAAAGTATACCTGGGCAATCTTGCCCAGAAAATGCCACCTCTCAATCAGAACATACCTCAGGGGCAGGAATTTGCTTTCCTACGGATGCTTCCTTCCCAGATTTTCTGTAAGGGTTTTCAGTGACATCTGGAGGCTGTTTTACCAGTTCTGCTGCATCCATTAGTTTCATAGGAACAATACTGAATGCATAAAGATACTTTGGAAAAAAACAACATAATAACATTAGGGGAAATACCATTTATCCAAATGTACTCAACCTATTTTACTGCAATGATTTCACAGAAAGCTTCAGAAACTGAGTCAAATTAAAAGAGCAGCAACTGGCCTGTCTGTGCTCAGAGAACACACAGTAAATCAAAAGCCAATTCAGTGATCTCTGCGGTGGCTAACCAAGGGCTGATGAAGTAACAAGCAACAGATCAAAGCCCCAGTCCCCCAAAAAAATCAGCCCTTACACAAAACAACCACTGGATGGTGAACATGAGGTAATCTACACAGAAATCGAAATATAATGATGTACACTTGAAATTTAAAAAAAAAACATAACAACCATCAATACAAGGCCCAGAGAGACTTGCTCCTTAACCGCTGAACACAAACTGCTTCTGTCTCTGAGTCCTTTATCTTCGTGTACTCTGTCAAAAGAATCACGGCACTGCCATTCTTTTTTTCCTAATGAAAACTAAATTGGACAACTTAGTGTTACTCTCTGATATTATACAATTTCTGCTGTACATGCTGATAAATTTTCTTAGGGACTAGTAGCAAAGAAGTAAATATTCATAAAGTATCTAGAAGCTCAGACTAATGGCACAGATATTGAAAACATCAGATGAGATGTGAATAGATGCTTAACCTCACTACTGATTAGGGAAATGCAACTAATTAACAATGACACACCATCTTTCATCTATCAGATTGGCAAAAACTTGAATAAAAATTTGACACTACCTACTTGAGAATGTGGATAGAAAAAAAAAAAAACCTCATACACCCACACTGCTGGTGGGGGTATAAATTGGAACAAAACTTTGAGATGAATTTTGCCAAATTTAATAACGTGCATACTCTTTGAAGTATGAGTTGCTTAGGGCTGAGGCTAACAATGTACACTGTTTATGGCATGTTAAAGTGGAATAATCTTCAGATTATTTATCTGCCTGTTTTCCCACTTGACTGTTCAGATTTTAGCTGTCTCAATCCACCATATCCTGCTTTTGGCCCTAGCGAATAAGGAATGCTCTCAGGGAAGTGAGAAAAATAATGCACTTTTCTAATATATACTCTTTCATTCAGCTGCACTGTTTTCCAGTACAAAGACAGATTCCAGCTATCGCTAAGATTTCCCAAAGCCAAGGAGGGCTTAGGTAAATCCTTGGGAGGATTTCATTATTTCTGCTAAATGAAGTTATTAAAAGAAGCAAAGCAAGAATACCTTCTGACAGCAACCTCATGCGTACCCACAGAGACAACCACACAGATGTGGGAAGAAAGGAATATCCTTCATTTGAAATTTTGCCTTTGTTCCACTGGGCCTATTTTCCCAAACCCTTCTCTAAAACCTCCTACAAAGGACCCAAGGAAACCTGACCTTTCGTTACCATACCTTTACAAAAAAGTCACTGAGATGCCGGGACCTTGCAATTGGGTAAAAGATAAGATCTGAATGCTAAACTGAGCAAGACAAACATTTATCAGGCAGATAACAAATATTAACCTACCACCAAATACTCAAATCTTTACCTTTTTCTTTTCTGGATTTCCAACATTTGCCAGAGCTATGAACCTGGTGGCATGCTGTGCATTTTCCTGCAGAACGATGTGGTTTCTATAACATATTTGAGAGATAATGGGTTACCAACAAAGTCTACTTCTGATGTACAATTATGAAATACGTAGACTCTATGAGACCACAAAAAGAGCACAGATCCTGAGTCCATCACCACAAGTAACAATCTCAGATGTTACCTGTCCATCTAGCAGGATAATCATCCCTACCTCACATGGCTGTTGTTAGGAAAAAACGAGATCACGTATCTGAAAAGCACAAAAACTTCAACTTTCGGTTTTAAAAGAGTTGTATGATGGGCAAAATGTTGATAATTGCTGAAGCTAGGTGATGGGTACAGGCGTGTTTGTTATACTATCCTCTCTTGTGTAATAAACATCTAAATAATGAAAACAAAAAAGAAATTAGTTTTAAGTGGAAAAACAACCTTCAAATAATAATATATAGTATGATTTCATTTTTCTAAGAAAAATGTAAAAATATATGAATGTCTATAGTTCATATAAAAAAATATGGGAACTACATATACCAAAATACTCTTTTGAGCTCTTCTGTGTTTTACAAGTATTTTACATTGAGCAACTATTATTTGTAATTAAAAAAAAAAGTTATGGCATTATACATATTTTTCATTTTTAGTGACTTGACCAGATACAGAAGCCAATCCTTAGAGTTCTTTACTATCCTTATGCTACAAAAATTTCCTGAATCTGCCACAAAATATAATTTTATTTTTATAAAATCTAGTATACCATTTTATATAAACAAATACACAAATACATATTTTACATTCATATTGAGGAAATAAACCAAAATATAGTCTGTCTGCTACAACCTGATTTTTTTTTTTTTTTTTTTTTTTGGTGAGGAAGATTAGCCCTAAGCTAACATGGGTTGCCAAGCTTCCTCCTTTTGCTGAGCAAGACCAGCCCCAGGCTAACACCCATACCCATCCTCCTCTACTCTATATGTGGGATGCCTGCCACAGCACGGCTTGATAAGTGCTGTGTAGGTCCGCGCCTGGGATCCAAACCTGCGAACCCCAGGCCACCGAAGCAGAGAGAGCAAACTTCATTACACCACGGGGCCAGCCCCTACAACCTGACTTTTTAAAGAGAGTAAGTACATTCATAGTTGGTAAATGGGACTGACATCAGTATAAGGTGGAAGTCGTGCCATTTCACATGCAACTTTCTCCAACTTTTAAAATGAATGAAACAAGTTTACTCATAATTAAAAGGAAGCTTTAACAATATATGAAGACATTAAGGAAAAACAGTTGAATAGCCTGTAGAAATGTCTCTCTTTAATGCTAGTGACCAGTGCGGTGGCCTCAAGAATTGCTAACACTTTCCACTCTTAAGCTATTCAGGTGTGGTAGGCAAAATAATGGCCCCCCCCCAAAGACGTCCATGTCCTAATCTCCATAACCTGTGAATGTTAGCTACAGCAAAGGGGAATTAAGGTGACAGGTTACTCAACTGACCTTAAGATAGGGAGATGCTCTTGGATTACCTAGGTAGACTCAACATAATCACAAGAGTCCTTAAAAGTGGAGAAGGGAAGTAGAAGAGAGTCAGAGGGAAACGTGACAATGGAATAAGGTCACTGTGGTGAAAAGGATTCAACTCGAGTTGCTGGCTTTAAGATGGAGCAAGGGGGGCCATGAACCAAGGGAGCCAAACAGGTGGCCTCTAGAAGCTGAAAAAGGCAAGAAAACAGATTCTCCCCTAGAGCCTCCAGAAACAAACAGAACCTGACCTATACTTTCATTTTAGCTCAGTGAGATCTGTGTCAAAATTCTAACTTACAAAACTGTAAGATAACAAATTTGTATTGTTTTAACCTACAAAGTTTGTGGTAATTTGTTACAGTAGCAATAGAACAGTAATACCACAGGGAAACCGCACGTATAGATAAAGACACTGTGAAGATGTTTCCCTCATTCATTTTAAAATAAAAATGACTGGTGAAGAATGCTACCCCTGAATGGTGTTTTTAACTATGATAAATTACTCCCCAAAAGAGAAAGCATAAGACTCACAGTGTAGGGATGCAAAGCATAGACTGACTGTAAATCTAGGCGCATACATTAGTAGAGACTTAACTATGCTAGTATTTTTATTATGACAGAGTTTTTGTTACAGCTCTAGTTAAAAAGTTGCACAGGCTTTTTTTGTTTTTTAAAAGCTTTATTAAGATCTAATTCAAATACCAAACAATTCACACAATTAAAGCATACAATTCAATAGTTGTATATTCACAGAGTTGTGCAACCACCACCACAATCTAATTTTAGAACAACTTCATCACCTGAAAAAGAAATCCTATACCTATTAGCAGTCATTCCCCATTTCCTTCCAACTAACCCCTGGCAACCACTAATCTACTTTCTATCTCTATGGATTTGCCTATTCTGAACATTTCATATAAATGGAATCATACAGTATATAATCTTTTGTGTCTGGCTTCCTTCATTCAGCATAATGTTTTCAAGGTTCACCCATGTTGTAGCATGTATCAGTACTTCATTCCTTTGTCTTGCTGAATAACGTTGCATAGCATGGATATACCATTTTATTTATCTATTCATCAGGTGATGGACATTTGAGTTGTTTCCACTTTTTGGCTATTATGAATAATGCTGTTATGACCATTTGTGTACAAGTTTTGTTTGGAGCTATTTTCATTTCACTTGGAACAGGAGTGGCATTGCTGAGTCAAATGGTAACTCTACGTTTAACCTTTTGAGGAACTGCCAGTTTTGCAAAGTGGCTGTACCATTTTACACTCCCACCAGCAACGTATGAGGGTTCCAATTCCTTCACATTCTTGCCAACACCTGTTATAATTTCTTTTTGATTACAGCCATCCTAATGGGTATGAAGTGGTATCTCATAGTGGTTTTGATTTGAATTACCCTAATGGCTAATAATGATCATGTTAATGAGCTTCTTTTCATGTACCTATTGGCTACTGATATACGTTCTTCAGAGAAATATGTATTCAGATCCTTAAAAGTTAAACAGGTTTTGAGTGGCTTGTTTCTATAACCTCTGTTTTTAGCGCATGGTTTTAGAGAACAACAGGTCTTTCTGGAATGTGTATATGGAGATACAACAGAAAAATCTGTATTACTTGTGGTTATATCTTAGGCCATGGGATTATGAGGGAAGGGCAAGTTGTTTTCTTTTTGCTCACCTATATTTTTTGAACTTTCAACAACACATATATTACTTCTGTGTAAAAAAAAAAAAGTTTTTATATATTATTTTAGGGATTATCCATGCCTTTTATCAGTGAAGATAATTCAGAGTTAATTCTACCACTTACGAAACACTGGTTTTCTCTTTTTCTCTGTAATACATCCTTTAAAAATTCCACTTCTAGGGGCTGGCACCGTGGCTTAGCGGTTAAGTGCACACGCTCCGCTGCTGGCGGCCCAGGTTCGGATCCTGGGCGGGCACCGATGCACCGCTTCTCTGGCCATGCTGAGGCCGCGTCCCACATACAGCAACTAGAAGGATGTGCAGCTATGACATACAACTATCTA